GTCCCCCGGCAGGAGCGCGGGGCTCGGCACCAAACCTCACTCCGGCGAAGGGAGCGGGGGGCTGACGCCCAGGAGCCAGTGGGGCACGTCAGGAGGAGGTGCCGGGGGCCTGAGCTCCCGGTCTCCATGGGAGACAGTGGGGGAAAAGAAGGGGTTATCTTCTAGCAGCTCATGGAGACGAGAAAGCGAGTTAATGCCCAGCACCCACTGGGGCACCACAGCAGCATCCGCGGGGCTTGGCAGGTTCAGTCACCAGACGCAGTTTGGGAGAGGAGAAGGGGACTTGGCTTCCAGCGTTCGGAAGGAGACAGAAAGGGAGCTGAAACCCAGCACCCTGGCAGGGGGGTTAACGCGTAGGTTCCCGTGGAGGACAGCAGGCGATGCGGGGTTAGCCTCAGGGACCCGCTGGGGAACAGCGGCAGCAGGACAGGGAACAACCTCCCGGACTCAGCTGTGGCGGTCAGCCCCCAAGCCGCGGCTGGAAGGAAAGGGCAAGGGCCTTGAATACTACCTCTCCCAGTTCCTCTGCCTTGCCAGCTTTGTGTTGCTGATGATTTTTTTGGGCATCCTCATGGTGAAGATGATTGGATCAGGCTGGCTTGACAGGACAGAGGAGAGTTGTACGTGCACTGATTTAATTCTGTTTTTAAGCTGTGTTCTTCACCTTTCTTTCCTGCTTTACCTTTATCCCTTCCATCTCCATCAGATTTATTATTCTTCTCGTTACCATAACTTGACATCTCTGTCTCTGTCCCCATTTCCCTCTCCCCTTGCCTGTGGGAAACCTTGTTAGTCATGGAAAGTAAGTCAAGTGTGTTTCTTTTCCAATGAATTCGGCCTCCAGGTCTTCAAAACCATGGATTTTATGGAGAGTGAAATTCCTGCTAGGCCAAGGATGTGTTTTGTGATTGCCCGTTGTGTAACCTAATGTCTGTGTAATTGCCCATTGTGTGTTTTAATGTTGGCCTCTACAAAGCACAGCCATTCGGTGTCCTTTATCCTAGCCGCATCCCAAGTACGGTGTTTGAATTGGTACCTCTCTACTTCAAGTGTGGTAGAGCTTCAACAGGAAACGAAAAGGGACTTTCCCATCACCCTGTGTTTAACACAAAGCTCCTAGCTAGAGCACACAAATTGTTGCTTCATGTCTTTGAACTGAAAAAAAGAGGCTTGGTGGGTGGTTTGGAAGGTGCGAGTCCTGAAACTCAGTGTGCTGTATTGTATAGGTGTTTGTGCATTTTGCACAGGCTAGGAAGGCTGTTTCGTGCTTTCTCAAAGTCAAAATAAAACTGGCCGATATCATTGACGTGAATTTCTGGTGCACATGTTGAACTCTTTTAGATATTTCTAAGCCAATGTTATTTTAAAGCAAGAAATCTTGCAGTCCAGCTGTAAATCAATTCTCAGATAGTTAAGATTGGTAAAAAGCGCTGTATCATAGACCTGTGGGTGGTATATACCCAATGGTTGGGGGGAGAGGAAGAGCTGTTAAACCAGAGGCCGTAATCTGCCAAGTAGACAGCTCCTTTAGCTGAAATACCTCCTCTGCTTTTGCCTTGAGGAGGTTTGATTTAAATCTCTTTTATCACCGTGATATATCAGGTGACCATGGCCTGCAGCAAATGACACCACTAGATTGTCAAAGATCAGTGCAAACTTCCAGTGTGGAGCAGTAGATAGCACAAGAGCATGAAACATCTACTTCAACAGGAGCGGTTAAAACATTCAGACCATGATTTTTACTTGCCAGCTGAACAGGGTTCATCATTTGCACCCTGATACAGAACACATTTTATTTGTTTTGCTTTCAATACTGCCTATCGAAGGAGTGCATTGAGTGCACGATTTGCGTAGCGAGGTACTGTGTAGTGAGATTAGGAATAGCAGGATCGGACTCGGAAGTAGAGCTTTTTTTAAACATATAATTACCTTCTTGATCAAAGCTCTTGTTTTGCAGCCAGCTAACTCTTCCTTTCCCTTCTTTCTCATAGTTAATCTCTTGCCTGTGGATTGTGACCAAAGAACAGATGATGTAAGCATACATTTATTTATCTTAAAATATTATGGACAGGGGAATCTCACAGAAGACTAATTATGGCTAGGTAGCTTCCACCACTATCAGCATCACTGTAAAATTATTGGTTCTGTCATGTTATTAAAAAGTTCTGATTTGCTGAGTTGGAATTAATAGGCCAGATTACACAGGACTGTGTATGAGACTCTGAAAATCCATTTCTGTAGTAGTTGTAGCATAAGTAATATTGGCTTGCAGAAGAGGCTGTGCCTATGTTCAGCCTTAACATTGCATGATTGAGTGCAGCTAATTCCTTGAACTCCATTATAGTGTTTGTACAGTCCTGATTTTTTTTTTTTCGTAACGCATTATTAGGATGGAAGGAAACTTTATGTTGGATTCAGAGTTAGGTTACTCTCTTGTGAGGTTTCTGGAGAGAGTCACTCGGCAGCCTGTCCGAGAGGACCTGCTCCTTTGGCGGCTGGTGGTGCAGTTCTGGGCTGTTGAGATGTGGGAGTTGGTGGCGCTTTCGAAGCATGTGTACTAGCTAACCTTTAACTCGGAAGCTGTAGATCTTTGCTGCAGAAGTGTTTAATTTGAACTAGTGAAGTGATGCATAGCTGAGCAAAACCCTATTGCTAATTTGTTTTCGTATTTTTGGCTAGTCTGACCGCTGTGCTGTTGCTGCTGATCTATTGATGTTTGTTACCTGTTTCTGGCTTTCAGTTCTGTCGAGCTCAACAGAAGGAGATTATAATGAACGTGCTGCATGAGTTGTATAACTACTTGTCAGTACAAGCTGGTAAGTTCCAATTGTCATTATAAAGCACTTATGAGCATTCAGCAAACTGCCTCTGCCAGCTGTCTGGACACTTTTAACCTTACTCTGAAGAGAGGAGTTTATGGAACAGTGAGTTCCACTTGAAGAGCTCTGGGAAAGTCAGGTAATAGAAGAATTAAAAAAAGATGAGTTTATTTTTAATCAGAATAGTGCTTAGCTAATGCACTGATATCACTGTGTTCTTGTGGAGTGGTCCTTATTTGCACTTCATATATTGGGAATTTGAGGTGCAAATATTCAGCTTTATGGTCCTTTTCTACCTGCATCTTGAAACAGTCCTCAAGACGCTCAGAGCCAGTAAGTGTAAACTGATGTACTCTTGCAAATAGATTTGAAACGACTTAAGAAATTGCCATCTCTCTGCTAAAGTGTGGTAACTGATTATGTGAGTGCCTCTGGTTTTTTCCATTGCTAGGTAAAACAGGCTTACTTAGCTCAGGAGCTAGCTGAACTCAGTACTGTTGCCAGTCTCTACTACATATATGGGAATCAATCCATGACTAGTATTTTGTGATGGAAAGAGTTGTTAGAAGTTCAGTGGATGTCTTTTTACTTTTCCAGTAACATACATAGTAATGTTAATTGTTGAAAGTGCTTATGTTCCATTTTCTTTAAGACTTCACGCATTAACGAGGCGAGTCTTTTAGGCACTGAAACTTCACAGAATTTCTAAATCTTTTCAAATCAGACTTCAGCACCTGTGAAATTTCCATCGGTTTTACATAGTCTCTTAGCACATTTGTTTAGTCATCTTTGTGAAGCAAGATTGAGAAGCCTGAGTTTCTGGCCAGTACCTGTGTGCCTGGGTAGCAGATGAGGTAGAGCTGGGGAGTAGGCTCCTTTTGTAGCATTTTGAATGCTGATCCTTAACTCCAATGTCACCATCTGTGATGCCTGATGGAAGAGGCACCTGTGCAGGACATTAGGTCAGAGAGGTTGTTATGTACTTAGCCAGGGGAAGAAATAGTTGTTTTTTTTCCCCTGATTCTGTATTGAGTAGCTCCACGCTGAAGCACGAGATTTGATTGTCCTTAGGTAACCTATATACAGTGGTTGAACATTTTATTAATAATCATAAGATTATCTGCCTACAGTATAAATCTTACCTAGGAATTATTTTACCCAGAGCTGTAGCTGATTTTTTTTTAAAGGCTAGCGTTTCCAGGCAGTTCATCGTATTTCTGAACTGTTTGAGGGCTTTTTTTCTAAAATGACTTCTGTCTCTTTTACTTTCTTACCAGGTAATTTTGAGTGTGGAAATCCTGAGAATCTAAAAAGCAAATGCATTTGGGTTAGTGAAGCAAGGGATCACGTGGTGGTGAGTAGGCTGTGAACACCTATTGTTATAACACAGTGCTTAGTCTCTTACAAGGCCATAAATAATAGATACTCAAGCAATTCACCATCTGTTTTACTTCCTCATCCTGTTTTGATTCTTCCCCATATCTCTTGCTTCCCCTTTGGGCAGTTCTGTTCTCAGCAGTTCTTTTGAAAATAATCTTCTCCTACATCTCTGATTCAGCCCCTGTAAATCTAACTTAATGGTGTGTTGTTTCAGTATAGTCATCAGTCTTCTGAAACCAGAAATTTCCCTGGACTGAGGGCTGGGCAGAAGAAAGATTTTTCCATACCCCAAAGTGTCAGAAGACAGACTGCTTTGATCTAACGTTCCAATTCTTTCATGGTAAACTGTCAGTAAGATTATGTTGTATTTAGTGGTTAGTCTTAGCAGTCTGGGGACAGTGTTATTTTACAGCATGCTTCATGCATCATCTACCGTAGTCATAAGATTTTGGTCCAGACCAACCTTCAGGTTTAGCTTTTTCCTTCTTCCCTTTGCAGGATTATGATAAGAATTAACCTAGGGGCAGACCACAGAATGAATTCTCCCCCTAACGTAATGAAATAATGTTATTGCAGTCTCTTAAATGAATAGAGAACTAATCTTCTTATGGATTCTCCCATACAGAATGTAACTGCTAGTTCTCCACCAAAGTTTGAAGCTGCCCTGGAATGGATACTGAAGAGTAACAAGGATTTAGGAATATGGTAAGTGGAAGCCTGCTACGTCAAAGTGGTGTCTCTCTGCGTTGGTTGACGTTATGTGGTTTGTCGTCCTGTGTGGTGTGCTCTAAAAGCTACGATACCTCCCTTTTTAGATTTCATAAAATAATCTGGAATCAGCTTTGTCGGTACTGGCCAGGCAAGCTTCTGCGTAGAAGGTAAGGTCCTGCAGCAAAAATTGGCAACTGAGGGCGTTCCTTCTCAGTCTGTCCCAGCCTTCGTGCTAGGGGATGTTGCGCTCACAAAGGCGCTGTCTTTCAGATGAAGCATAAATCTGAGGTCCTGGCTGCTTGTGGCTATCAACCATTATGTCACGCTTGCTGTGAGGTTCAGCCGTGCTAGTCCTTTTTTTTTTGTGACTACAATCTGCTTTTTAAACTTTCCCACGTACTCAAACGCTTTTCCCTAGACGACTGTTTTATTCAGTACTGTTGTTGTAGGCAGTGCTTCAGAGTGGAGTTAGGTTCTTTGGCCAAAGGAATTGGATTTGATAAGTAACATGCTTCAGGAACCTTTCGGACCAGTATTTATGAGGAAGAGGGGGAAATAGTCTGTTGAATGGTATCTTTTCTTTAGTGTTAGTTGCTTTTCTAACAAAAACATATACGTATTAAAATGAACGGAAGGACTCCCACTGACTATGTAGGTCAGTCACAGGAAGGGCTTCTCTCTTTGGTTTCTTGGCTACC